CAGGATTTATTATTAAATCGGTAAGGGCTAAAATACTTAATGATTGTTTTAAATTTCCTACTGGCTTTCTTGAATACATATCTTCTTTCCATAAATTTATAGTGGGTTTCAGCTTCTTTCCTGTCCAGTGTTGTGTGTGTGTGCTTGGGAGGCAGAATTGTAGCTGAAAGCAAATTGGATGGTAGAATTATGATGAAAAACATGTTCTTTACAGTCAGTGCAGTGTGGGTGAGATACTAGACTGAAAATTAGCTTTCTGTGGAAAGTGAGAAGTGTGGCCCCTAGCTCTTCTCTTGGTTATTTTTTTTTCTCCTCTTGGCTTTTCCTTTTCTATTAACCTTCCCAAAAGCCAACAAATCTGACTTTGGTACTTCTTTGACTAGAACTGTATAAAAAAGCCCTGAACAAATTTCTCTGTGTCTTTTCTGAGGCCATGCCTCAGTGGACTGCACACAGCAGAAATTATGTGTTTCTGTGTACTTGGGTATGATTTGAGGTTTCTCAGTCTAGGGTTTATGCAAAGATTGCCTGTGACACCAAAGACAGCAAACTTGCTTTGTGCTGGTTTCAGTGGGTGAGGAGAACTGTGTGTGCCGTGTTTCCCTGACATTCATAAGCAATTCTGTTTTCAGTGATACTCTTCAGAATAAGAAGGGATGATACTGACCTTATGTTTTCATTGTGTAACTTGCCAAATAGAGAACTATTTGTGTGTGGAGGGGGATTTAAGACTGTGAATATCTGTGGCATCTGGGTGAAATTACGAACAATAAAGCAACTATGAAAATCAGCTGGAATTTCATAAGCTGCTAAACTATGACCATCTAGGGCATGCTGAAGGAAAAGGACATGTCTGAATTAGAACATGCTAAAATGAGGAATGTCCGTTGGTACAGTCTGGCATGAGGCCAAGTGTATACTGAATTAGGTCACTGCTTTAAGTGTGAATGTTTCCCCCTTTTGAAAGTGGTACTCATCCTTTGCAATAAGGAACCAAAACAGAATGGTAATGTAATAAAAACAAATTTAAAAGCATTTTCAATTAGCATGCTGGTCTGTTCCCTTGTGCTTGGAGAATCAATGAACTCCTTTTTTAAGGAACAGTAATGTTTCCATAGTTGAATATACATCAGGCCCTGGAAATGCAGGAACAACCAGTTGCTTCTGGAAAATTTGCAAATCTTCATAAGCATTGCATAAGCCTCAGATGTCTCGTTATTTGGAAATCATAGGGAGTATTGTAAATAGACTTGTTTCGAAGAATTGAAATTATGTGAAATATCAGGATGTGCAATTTAAAGATTTGGAACTTAAATCTTCAAACGCTGAAGTGCTGATCCCAAGGCCGCCTGTGTGATTACTAATTTCCATGTATCTTATTGTTCTCTTTTATAAACTTCAGATGTGCCTTGTGACACTGAATTAATTTTCCTATTGTGATTCTTGGGATCCTGTGTGGTTTTGCTAATTCTGGGGTTTCACAGCCTGCTTTCTCTTGTAATCATCTTCTACAGCCTGGGAGTATTTACTGGAATTCCTAAAATAGTGCTGTGCCAGACCGAATTCATATCAAATTTGGGTTGTAAATATGCAAAGCTGGTGCTTCTCTGAAGAGAGAGCATAGTGAAACAGAGGGCTTGTGAACCCTTCTTTTCTGATGGGGTGAGAATTAGGATTCTTACTGGCCTCACTCATGCCTTCGAGGACGAAAGATGAAAATGGTATCTGACTCCTTTAGGGTGACTCTTAGCAGAGTTAATGCTGGGTGAGGCAGGCATGGAGGTGGGGAAGGAAGAGGTATGTAAGTCTGCTGTAGCAAATTAACTCACCCCTTCAGCTCTCCATGTGTGATTTAAAATTTTAACATTGTTTAGCATAACTGTCTGCACAAACACTCCTGGCCTTTCAAGGCCACAGGGAAGCTGTAGTGGGAAAGATGCTTGCTCTTTATCGTGTTGCATGAGAACTGTCACAGATAAATAGGCAAAACCTATCTTGTGCAAAAAGGCTGTCTTGTTAATAAGATTGCCACTAGCTCACTAGAGAAGAGTTTTGACTAATGAAGGAATAATTAAAGCCTAGAAGGAAAAGAACCAGTAAGCTCTTTACAGCCTACTGCACATAGTTTCCATTGCTTCAGAAACAGCTTGTTGTTTCTCTTTCATAAGCACCCCTGAAGGCAGTGTGCCACAGACCAGCCTGCTGGTGTAAACAGGGAAAGTTCCTGTAGGGAAGACTCAGAAATCTGCAGTTACTCATAATCTGTTGTTGTGTTGGTGGTGCAATACAAACGGGAGTCCCTGTGGAGGCATGCTGGCTTTTTTAATCCATGCTAACCATAATGATGTACGTTTGGCCACCGTTAAAATTCTTAAGAACAGAGTGGCTCTTTCATTGCCCTCTGGTGTTTGAGGTTACCTTAATCTCGTGGTAGATTGTGTCCTCTTGACACATAACAGGAAATCTGTTGTCACTTCTTTCTAAGACATGAATGAGACCTAAAGAAACTTAGCGACTCATCAAAGTGAGGACAGGGCAATTTATTGGTAGATCAATAATTGAATAAAGGCCTACTAGGCTAATGATCCACCTTCAGGGATGTCTGTTTATCACGTAAGGACAGTTACTGATTGTTTAAAGCCCATGGTGGTGAGAGATTGCATGACTTCTTGGTGGCTTTAAGTTAGAGGTTCACTGATGAACCGAATCTGGCCATGGTGTACAGCTGCCTGCACTGGCCGTTATCAAAATGTACCATGGTGCCTGTGTTTGTGTATAAGCAATGCAAAAATGTTGCTGTTGTTGACAGGCTGCGCAATCAAAAATAGTTGGAATTGGGTTTGTCAGTATTTTATGCAAGTCAGGTAGTTTATTTCTCAGTATGCCTTGACTGACTTAAGATGTGCTGGCTTATGCATGGAGTGGCTTTAGTACAGTCTAGTATTTATGCAGGTTTAAAAAAAAAAAAGGTACTTTATGTAATTAATCGTGGCTTCGCCTCTTGTGGTCTAACAGAACAAAAATTCAGGAGGAAAAGTGAAAAAAACATCATATAGGCAACTTGCTACTTAAGAAAGCTTGGGGATGGTATGACATAATTTCTGGTTTGTTTTTTTTTTCATTATTTCTGAACTGGTTTTATCCTGAAGATGTTTTTTTCTTCTGTCTCCCTTGATTCACCACGTCTGGACCCTGGTCAGTAGTCTGAGGATACATCTGGTGTTGATCACCCTTTATAGGCATTTAACTTGCATTTATATAATGCTGTGTTTGTGCAATGAGGCGTAACTTCTGTCTTATTTGAACTTAAAAGGGTGTAATCTAGAATTCATTTCATAAAACTTACTTATTTTATACCAGAGTAGCCAGTAGCTTTACGTCAGTTGAAAAAGCTGAAGTTTCAAATAACTGTTGCCTTTAAGCTGCTCTCTTAAGAATTTCTACATAATGCTTCCACTTCATTTGTGAACAGGGTCATAGGCAGGGACCTCAGTACCAGAAATACTAGTATCTTCTTCAAGTAGTCTTGCAGGCTCAGATGGACAACTCTGAAGTGTGCAGCTCTTGCAAAACTCAGTGTACGTGACATGCATGCAAAGTTAGGATCTGCTATCACAGCATTGGTTTTGGTGGTATGAATAAATTATTTAACTTTTCAGGCCTTGTAATGTGAGCTTCCTTGCAAATGAGGATGCTAAATATTGTGATACTGCTGGTATGTGGTACATGATTCTCACTAAAGAATGTCTTGATTGTAGAAGCTGGATGGGAAGGGAGAAATGTCACAAGGGAAGACATAACTGGGGAGAAATATTGCAAGGTGTTTGTAAGCACATGAAGTGCATCGTGTCATCATGACTTATTTACAAGGACAGGGGAAGATGGAGTTTGTGGCTGCTTGGCGGTGTTAGATAACAGCCTGTCCAACCCATATAGAGGGAGTGTTGGAGTGGGCAATCTCTTTTCTAATGTCAGAAGCATACTGAAACTGAACTGAAGTTATTCAAGGTCCCAGAACTTCCCCCAGACGAGTTATGCAGCATAGTCAAAATGAACGTACAGCTAACAGATCACTGGATAAATTTTAATGAGCTTCACTTATTTTATACATCCAAGTTTTAAGCTGAAGTACTTTATTAATGTGAGAATGTAGACTAATATGCATTGAGCTTAATTATAGCTCTTTATGCTGTCACTGAAGAGGCCCATAAACTGTTCAGCTGACTGTTGTTGCTGAGCAGGATTTTTGGAATCCCCCCTCTTGTGTTACTGTGGTTTCTTTTCCCTGACCTTTTCCTCCAAGCCTCAGCAATGTAAGAGTGTGACCCATGCAAATGGTCAATGCCTCTTGATGCTAGCCTAACCAAATAAAAAGGTGGAAATGTTAGACAATGGGTAGTCTCAGGCTGCCTTCCATCAGTTGGGAATTAGGGTTTGAATTTGAATCTCTCTTGAATTTAACTTATTCTGAAGTGCTGTTTCTGGAGATTTTGATATTTAAATCTGCAAAACTTTACTCATGAGTAAATAATTATCTCCTAAAAGATATTTACTTAAAATAAAAGCAAATGTAAATGCAAGCTTCTGTTGCTGCTGCTTCTAAACAGTTCTTGGAATTTTTTTTCAGTTCAGAGGAGTAGAAAGGGCATCGTGTTTTTTGTCTTCCCACAGAGGAAAACAAAACAAAAAAAATCAAACCCAAGAATGAATGGGGGAGGTAAAACAAATAAAATTTGATGAGACTAGAAGAACCCTTACTGCTTTAGCTGACTTTGTGAAAAATGTATTTCATTAGACTGTCTATATTGCTTTTTTTCAGGTACTATGTCAAAGGGAATCACTGATGGATAATACAATGGAAAGAGATAATGTTTTTCATTCTCCTTTTCCCACTCCTTCCCCCAGCAGTCCTTTGCATCCATGTGTTACAACTTTATTCATGTGTTTTCAGATGACTAGCTGCTTTGTAGCTCTAATATGCACCTTTCTTTTAATTTTAGGTTCTGACTTCATTTTGCTGACTCAAACCGCAGATTCCAAGGAAAGGAGGGGAAGTGGAATAAAATACTCAAGTGCCAGAGGAAAGGCCAGACTACCCAATGAAAATTACTAAGTTGTAGATTGCTCTCACACACAAGGGAGAAAAATTGCTGTTGATTCAAAGCTCATGAAATTACTTCTGCAGACTTTGCTCACTGAACTTCAAATAGACTAAAACCACCCAAGTAGGGTTGAAACAGGAAATGGAAATATGACTCCTTGCTGGTGTCTTCCGCCTTCCTCACCCTCTGCAGGTTTTTTCGTTTGGGGTAGGAAATCCTGAACAAATTGTATGGCGTCAACCAAGCTCATAGTTGATGGTTATGGATGACATAGGAACTTCAGATTTATGTCTCTGCAATGACACCTGATTAAGGCAAAGGTTGAAAACTGCACGTCAGCTACTTTATCAAAACTTGTAGTAACTGTTGCAGGCATACTTTCTCTGTCTTTCTAGAATTTGAACTCTGGGGTGATGTTCCCTGAAAAGCATGAGCAGATAAGTCATATTTTTGAATTGGAAGTGGTAGTAACATGAGAATGCCCAGAAGAGGCTTTGCAATTCAAGCCAGGACTCGTTGGCTATTAGTGGGCCTTGCTTTACTATTCAGTTTAGTCTTGCTTATGTATTTGCTGGAGTGTGCTCCACAAACAGACGATAATGGATCTCTGCCTGGTGTTGTAGGCGAAAGCATGGGCAAAGAATACTATCAAGCTCTCTTGCAGGAGCAAGAAGAGCATTATCAAAACAGAGCTACCAGTCTGAAACGTCAGATTGCCCAGTTAAAGCAAGAGCTTCAGGAAATGAGTGACAAATTGAAATCCCTGCAGGAAAAAAAGAGCCCAAGGGTCAATGGTATGAACTACCAGGGCACCAAAGAACAGTCATCCAATGATCTCCTAGAATTTCTTCATTCACAGATTGACAAAGCTGAGGTGAGCGTGGGGGCTAAACTGCCTAGTGAATATGGTGTCATTCCTTTTGAAAGCTTTACATCCATGAAAGTATTTCAGTTGGAAATGGGGCTCACTCGGCATCCAGAAGAGAAACCTGTTAGAAAGGATAAGCGAGATGAGTTGGTGGAAGTTATTGAGGCTGGCCTAGAAGTCATCAATAATCCAGATGAAGAAGATGGACAAGATGAAGATGATGGAGTAGGAGAGAGGCAGCTGTATAGTGAAAATGATTTCATAGAAGGTATGTTTATTATAAGCTTTCCAGCCCCATAACAGAATGTCACAACAGACATTTAATGGCATTTGTATTTTTTACGAGTTTACCTGCTTGAATATACTCTTGAACAGATGTTACACTAAGTACCTTTATTTCTAATGATGAGACTATTACTGCTTCATTATCTTGTGTTTTGAGTAGGGGGCAAGAAATCCATTTCAGAAGGGCTCACCACAAGTGTACAGGATACAGCTGTGTCTGCCTAAAATACTGAGGCATTCGTAATTGGTTGTAGCTGAAGTCAGTGTAACAGAACTGCTTACGGTGCTGAATAACTGAAAGACTTCCAGTGAAACTGGTGGCTTCAGGAGGGAGAAATTGATAAATTTCTCTTGTTCCAGCATAGTTAAGCCAGTCAGTATGAAGCTACAGGGTCCTTCTTATCTGTATACTACTTTTACTTAATATTCAGGCTACTGACTGTCATAGATTTGACACACTTATATCGGAGGGAGATCATTGGTAGGCTTATGTACTCTGGTCTTGTCAGCTGAAGAACTTTGTGTTCTTCATGGTATACAAGTTACAGGGTCTGCTAAGCTGCATTACCTTGAACTATTTTGTTGTTCTCCAGTTCTCTCTCAGTACTTACAATTACAGGGCACATTATTATAAAAACAGATATAGAAGCTATGTTTTCACTTAGTGACACCCTTAAAATATGCATTAGTGATAATTCCTACAGAAGTTGGCTTTCAAGGTACAGTAAAATGCTGTTGGAGATAATCAAAACCTGTCCTGGTATCTCTTTTTTTTGTATTTACAGTATTAAATACAGTTCATGCTGCCATAAAAAAGCCCCACAGAATTTGGAGCATGTTATAAAAGCATTACTGTAAAAGGGATTCTGGATCTCAGCAGTACTGATGTCTGCACTATTAAGCAAACATGCTGGAGAAAAGTACCGTTGGCCTTGAAATAATCAGTTCTTTCAGTCTAAGATGATGTAATTGGTCTGTAGCACAAAAAGTCTGCTTTTAACAGCTAATGTGATTAAAGCTTAATGCAAGTACTCTTCTTCATTCCAGAAGGTGGAACAGGTCATAGAATCCACTCAACTGTGTCAGTATAACACAGCCAATGCAGTGTTAGGCTCTTGGTACAGTTTTTACTGAAAGCCATATTATTTTGTCTGGAGGTAGTCATCCTTGCAATTAAAATTGTTTTCTTTCTATATTAAGTGTGCAGCTGTTTTTTCTTTTTACCATTACTGAAATAGCTGTTTATTTTTCTCAGTGCACTGTCTATAATGACTGCAGACCTCCAAGGAGCAAGAGCAAGTAAATTTAGGACCTTAAAGTTGTACTTCATGCCCCTGCCTCTGTTCACACCAGTGTATTGATAACCGGTTTTGGAAATCAAACTGCTGTAACGACATTCTTTTCAAGCATAGGGAACTGTAGAAAAAGAAAAACATTTTTATGATGTTGCTCATGTTGGGTGTTGCTCATGTTGCATTACTATGGCAACTAGCTGTAGTAATGCGTATCAGTGTGGGTTGTTGGTTTGGTTGGTTTTGGTGTTTCTTTTTTGTTTGTTTGCCCACTGTCTCAATTTGTAAAAGCATCAAGAATTGTTTTTCTTCCTCTATTTTAGGATTTAACTGTATTGGAGTCACTTGTGACAACAAAGACTAATGATATGAATTAAAAATTAATCTGTCTTTTGCATATTTAAATTTGTCTGCTCTATAAATGCAAATTTCTAAATAAACTTTTCTTAAAAAGTACATACCAAATAATACACAGTATTTGAATCTACTGATTTTTATTACTGCTTAGGCCACAAAGTGTAGGCAAAAATGTATTCTGATCAGTGCTTTCTTGTTGCTGCTTTTTATTTTGTGTCCTTGATTCAACTGTTCATGCAACTTCTTTGCTGCATGCTCAGCCTCTGTAGTCTGTATATAAAGGTATTCTGACTTCTACCAGTGGTGCCAGGAAGGTGTATCCACAAGAGTGAGCAGTCTGTTCAGGTGTTATCCAAACTGATGTTATTTTTTTAGCGTTGCAAGACAGAGTAATGAGCCTAATCTGTTTGGAGCTGTGATTAGGCAGAGCTGTCACAGCCACATCATGGCTATTGGCAAGCTTTGAGCAATAACACCAAGTTAAAAAAAAAAGATTTGCAAGTATGTGTTACAACTGTGAAGATACTTTCTGAAAGCTCAAAATTAGTTTTCAACAAGACTTGACTTACTTTGCTGATGAAGAGAAAATCAGTAAGTTTCTCAGTTCTGTAGGCCTGTTTACTGCATTGCTACCTTTTTTGCTTTGCTGCAACCCAAATTGAAACTTCCAAACATCTAATATTAACAGAACAAAAAATCTGACCTTAAAAAAAGTCTTGTTCTGTAGTTGCTGTTTGAGAAACACTTTGAAGTTGCTTTTTTTTTAAATATTTCTGTTAGATCTAAGAATATGAGAAATGGGAGTATGCTGTTCTCCTTGGATGAAGAGTGTCCCTAGAGGGGATAAAAGTTGCAATATTACATATTATCATAAATGAAGGGTTGAGGACTACAAACAATGAACCTAATTGATGAACTGGGCATTCTAAGATAGTCCTGGATTAAAAATAGTTTTCTTTGAGATCATTATTTGATGTTCAGAAACAGAGGATAAGTAAAATGGGAAGAGCATAATAGTATTACTTCTGCCCATCCCCTTTCTTCAGAAGCCTGGGACATTAAATCTTGAATAGTGATGCAAAACTCATTGAGGAGCTTTCATGGACATCTGTACTTTACTATCAGTGTAACTGGGTTATTTGGGTTACATTTATCAGTGTAATGAATTTATTTCATCAGGATATTAAAAGCTCTTCCATTGGTTAGACGTTTAACTTTCAGAAAATAGAGGCATTAGTGTATTTTCAGAAGTTAATTGTTGGTTAGCTAATCTCTAATGAAGGTCTTGTTATTGAATGTCTGTCAGAATTTGAGTGCTTTTGTTTGGGTCTATTTCTCTTGCTTCTGTGTTTCCAGTTGTAACTGGGCAAAGTCCAGAAACTGTCTTTAGGTCTGAATCTCAAGGGAAAACTTCCAGCCCATCCTTGGCATATAAAAGATTGTTTATCCCAGCACTACAAGCTCAGAGTCAAAACTTCCAGAGTCCCTGCCATCCACAGAACAGTTTTGACTGCTTATCATGCAAAATACCCCCTTTAGTATGACCTGCATATGACCAGAAACTGGCCAGTGTCCTGGAACTTCAGCTGACGATTTTAGTATACAGAAATAAGGGACACCTCTTAAATTCCATAAACACTTTCTTGGTAGCTGTAAAAGAAATAATAGTATTCAAGGCAATAGAAGAATAGCTTTTTGGCTTTAATAGTAATTGATTCCCAGTATTCCTCGATTTGTTTGGTGAGAAACAGAACTCTGAGAAGGGACTAAAGCTTCATGGACGAGGAATAACAGCTGTTAAATTATTTCTGCTGCTTTTTACCTCTTTGCTTATAGAGCTCTATTTTGGATGGCAGCCAGCATATGCTAGTTGGAAGGTGAGATAGCAAGTTTTATTACATGAGTCAGTCCCAAGTGTTAAAAACCTGAATATGCTAAGAAGTAAAACAGATGTGGGTTCTTTTTCTGGCTGTTTCAGTTCAGGCTTCTGTGTGTAGAAGCTTTAATCCCATAAAAGTATTCAAATTAGTAGATTGCCTGTGGAGGTTAGCTCATAGTTAAGAGCATATACTATTTTGAAAGTGTGCCATTGGTAGGATGCTGAGATTCAAAAGTTGGGAATCTCCTAGCAATGAAATGTTGGCAAGGCCCTACTGAAATTCATATTAAGGTCTTTATGAACTAACAGCAATGGTAATTTTTTAAAGTTCCTTCAATCTACGAATTTTTCTTCTGTGCCACAGCCTTCTGTTGCAAACTGACATCTAAGCCTGTCCTCTGATTCAAGATAACCTACTTACAACTGTGACATGCTTTTAAAAAGTTTCACTTATAAATGGTATTTTCATCTGTAAACAGCTATTAGATACCAAAGAAAGGAATTTTATCTGAAATACTGAATGTGAGTTTATGCAGGATTACTGGTACAAAGTATTTGCTGTGTTGCATGAAAACAAGGTGTGCAAATGCCATGGTTGCATCAGCTGCTTCAGTAAGCAAGAAGCTGTTTTCAAGGTACAGTGCTAGACTATGCAGCACAAAGAGTTGGAGTGAAAAAGGGCTGAGAGGGATTTAAGATCTTTTTCTGCTTCTAAGAATCAACACTGGACTTCCATTGTTTGAAACACGCTTTTCAGTACTTGTAATTAATACTGATTTGAAACTGTCATGCTGAGGATTAAAATGTGTTGCATATTTTATGCAGCTTTGTGTTCACAAAAGAATAAATACGGATTTCTGTCTCTTAGTGTTCATTTCAAAACTGTATTCATAGGGTAAAAAGCTTTTAAGGTGGAAAAGCTGTATTCAGACACCATTAAATTTCAGTATAAAGGCATTGGCTTGTTCTGCTACAACACATCTCCCACACACCCTGTGTGGTGGTCATCCATGTGTCCCATCAGGTGTGCCAGTACACATGCTTACCTGCAAGAGAGGGTGCATTACAGAGCAGAATATACGAGTGGTATAGGGAGCTTGCTGTGAAAGAATGGCAGTTGGGCAGATACAGGATGGGGCAGGAAGAGGGAACATCAGTGAATAAAATGGGATTTGGTTTGGGGAGAGAGGCTGGAGCAGAGGAACATGGAGGGAATTAGGTAGATCTCGGGAAAGGACTCTGTAAATGGAGCGTGGGTTATAGAGAAAAAAAGCTGGGGCAAGGTGGTGTATGCAATCCTTGCTTCTTGTGTTGAATGAGAAAATAATGGGAGGAAGGAGCATGGAGGAATACTTGCATGGGGGTAGTAGAGAGAGAGGAGAGAGGCAAACCTTTCTATTCAAGGCAGACAAAACAAAGCTGCTCTAAGTTTGAGGACTGTTCCCCTCACATCCCCTCCCCTCTTGATTTCAGTTGCAAAAAAGGACAATAACCACAGTGTGTATATATATACACACATATAAGGACAGTATACTGAGCACAAAAGACAACCCCTTGTGTCACCAGACCAGTTTGTCTATCCTGTGCCCTGCCACCTTCTTTTGGTGGGAGCCTGGGAGAGGATTTTAGGTGCTCTGGAGGCTGCTTTGCAGAAGAAGAGGCAGTCTAGGCCTGCTGAATGAGTGAATGGAGATACACTGGCTGCATGGTGTGAGGGCAGGGGTGTTGTCTCTGGCCAGCTCAAAGTTCTTTGGTTCATAGCGTAGCTTATTTTTTTTCTCTATAGGACACCTTTTTCTTTTGGGTGAGAGAGAGGAGAGCAGAGATGGGATGAATGTAGGGCAGTTCTGTTGGAGTATTTTTCCCCTCATCATCTCTTGCTCTCATATTAGTATGGGTACAGAATTAACAACACAAAGCTCAGTTGAGCCAATGCCACAGATGAGTCTTGGTCTTTTGCTTTGTGGTATAAAATTAGAGAGGCTGTTGGCTTAACTTGCTTCCTTGATGTCCTTAAATGACTCATATTCTGAATGAGATAGACTTTCCAACCCATTAAGAGTGAAATTTCTCTAAATAGGTAATCCTGTTTGTAGTGGACCGCTGGTGTTTTCTCAGTGTTACAGTTAGGTAGAAAACTTCTGCCTCTGTCCTTAGAGGACTGTGACTGTAGTGAAATACCACTGTCTTTATTCATCACAGAGAACGTCCTGTAGCTAGTGGGAAAACTTCTGCCTCTGTCCTTAGAGGACTGTGACTATAGTGAAATACCACTGTCTTTATTCATCACAGAGAACATCCTGTAGCTAGTGGTCAGCAATGAAAGCAATTTTAGAGCATTCCAGCGTTTATCACACATTATTTTTTTTTTAGATATCACATTTTAGATTTTCCAGGCTTTGTCAAGCAAGTTACTATGTCATTTGTTCTGCCCGCAGCTTTGTGTTATGCTGATTGCTGGCCAGATGATCTGAGCTTTCACTGTGGACTAGCTCTGGGGATGATCCTTACTGAAGGGCGTAAGGACAGGCAATAATAGATTTCGGCCATCCTTTATCAAATAGCTGAATTCCCTTTCTATTGGGAAGACCAAACTAATGCTGCCTGAGAAGTTGATGTAGGATGATAAAGTCTGTTGTGGCCTCTAAGAAGCAAGGGAAGCAGGAGCTTGTTTGGGACTGTTTCTCAGATCTGGTCTAGGAGGATAGAAAGTTATTGTGATTGTTGATGGTTTGTAAGTTGTTTTGGTTTTAGGAAAAGCCCAGAAGCTTTTTCCCTACAGGTTTACTTACTTGCTTCTATAGTTCTTTGGAAAAACAGTGTGTCTGAAATACAATTGCTGGGATCTTTGACTTTACAAATTACTTGTGTGGCTTATTCTTCAGGTTACTATCGTACAGAAAGAGATAAAGGGACACAGTATGAGCTGTTTTATAAGAAGATGGATGGCATGGAATACAGGCATGTCACCTTGTTCCGACCTTTTGGACCACTCATGAAAGTGAAGAGTGAAACAGTCGATATTTCTAGATCAATCATTAACATTATTGTCCCTCTTGCTGGAAGAACTGAGGCATTTGCACAATTTATGCAAAACTTTAGGTAGGTGCATGAGATTATATAGTGAGCTTTATTGCTGATTTTCAGTATCTTGTTTCCTTTTCAAACTGAATTTCCAGAACTAATGATTCCAACATTGTGTGCAGCTGCCTTGGAATGCTTGTAATTGAGCCTACTATATGGAGAAAACGTTCCTTCTAAAACGATTTAAGAGATTCTCAAATTGCACTTCTAGACCAAATGCCAGGGTTGTTGTGAACCTGGACACAGATGATCTTGAACATCATTTTCATGTTTACATCAGCTTTTGAGCTCCTCTTTATAAAATAAGGTTTTGGAATGAGACACACAGTATTGGAACCTTCTGATTCAAGTGGGAAAGATGGGGAAAGAAAAGGGAAAATGTTTTTCCTTGTTTTCTTTAGAAGCTAGTTGAAGTCTAACCAGAATGCTTAAATCTGCTAATACTCTTACATGTAACAGCTTTTAAGCACCTGAAGTTTCTGTTGTGTTGCAAGTTATTATTAATATCAGTTTATGTTTGTGCTTGCAGGGATGTGTGTATTCATCAGGATAAGCGTCTTCACCTCACAGTGGTGTATTTTGGACAAGATGGGCTATCAGAAGTAAAAGGCATCCTAGAATCTGTAGCTAGGTAAGTGTGTTGATCCAGTGTCAGTCAATGTGAACAATACTGTTTGGTATTTAAAATGGTTTGTTGTTGTTGGAACAGGGTTTTTTTTTCCTCATTCTCATGGTATAACAGGATTGTTTTGGGATTTTTTAATTTCTGGAATAAAATTACTGTAAAATGCTGAGAAAGTATAAATGATCCATTCTGTCCCCTGTCGTTCCCCCCCCACCCCCACCCCCCCCGGTTTATTTTGTATTTGGCTCTCTTTTTGTTTTAGAGAAACAAGCTTCCACAATTACACACTTGTCTCTCTGAATGAGGAATTTAACCGAGGCCGAGGACTTGATGTGGGTGCCAGAGCCTGGGAAAAGGGCGAGGTCCTGATGTTCTTCTGTGATGTTGATGTTTATTTCACGGCTGAGTTCCTCAACAGTTGTCGCTTAAATGCTGAGCCTGGTATGTTTCTTTACAGTTGCTGTAACCCAGTATTGTTGCCTTGTTTTGCTTAAACTGACAATAGAGAAAACTAGCTTGAATGGTGGAGATTATTCAGTACCATGAGCCTGGGAAGATGAAAAATACTCTGCACACAAAGGACAGTAGTATTTAGATTGAGAAATAAATTTTGTCTTAGCATAGCTTGTTTTAAGAACATGTTGCCTTTTTGCATAAGAAGTACAGTTTTCTTAAGGTTTGGCTGTCTAAAAGAAAGTTGGATAGTTTAATTGCTTTAACAATTGGTCTGCATGTAAATTTGTATAACAAAACTCAGTGTAGGACTTGCAGTGGAAAATTATTTTTGTTATACTGAAATCTCTAACAAGTTTGTAACAAGTTTTGTGTAAAGCATTCGACACTGTCCCACACAACATCCTTGTCTCTAAATTGGAGAGACTTCAATTTGATGGATGGGCCACTCGGTGGATAAAGAAGTGGCTGGATGGCCTCACACAAAGAGTTGTGGTCAATGGCTCCATGTCCGGCTGGAGACCAGTAACGAGTGGTGTCCCTTAGGGATTGGTGTTGGGACCGGTCTTGTTTAACATCTTCGTCGCTGACATGGACAGTGGGATTGAGTGTGCCCTCAGCAAGTTTGCCGATGACACCAAGCTGTGTGGTTCGGTTGATACGCTGGAGGGAAGGAATGGCATCCAGAGGGACCTTGACACGCTTCTGAGGTGGGCTGATGCCAACCTCATGAAGTTTAACCATGCCAAGTGCAAGGTCCTACACATGGGTCGGAGCAATCCCAGGCACAGCTACAGGTTGGGCAGAGAAGAGATTCAGGGCAGCCCTGCAGAGAAGGACTTGGGGTGTTGGTTGTTGAAAAAATGAACATGAGTTGGCAGTGTGTGCTTGCAGCCCAGAAAGCCAACCGTATCCTGGGCTGCCTCAAAAGGAGTGTGACCAGCAGGTCAAAGGAGCTGATCCTGCCCCCCTGCTCTGCTCTTGTGAGACCTCACTTGCATTATTGTGTGCAGTTCTGGTGTCCTCAACATAAAAAGGAGATGGATCTGTTGGGACAAGTCCAGAGAAGGGCCACAAGGATGATCAGGGGACTGGAGCACCTCCCGTATGAAGATAGGCTGAAAAAGTTGGGGCTGTTCAGCCTGGAGAAGAGAAGGCTGTGTGGAGACCTCATAGCCGCCTTCCAGTATCTGAAGGGGGCCTATAGGGATGCTGGGGATGGACTCTTCATTAGGGACTGTAGTGATAGGACCAGGAGTAATGGGTTAAATCTTAAACAGGGGCAGTTTAGATTGGATATAAGGAGGAAATTCTTTCCTGTTAGGGTGGTGAGGCACTGGAATAGGTTGTCCAGGGAGGTTGTGAATGCTCCATCCCTGGCAGTGTTACAGAGCAGGTTGGATGAGGCCTTGGGTGATATGGTTTAGTGTGAGGTGTCCCTGCCCATGGCAGGGGGGTTGGAACTTGATGATCTTCAGGTCCTTTCCAACCCTAACCATTCTATGATTCTAAGTTTGATTTATGTCTTCTCACGCTTGTGTGACCAAGACACTTCATGTATAAAAGGGTTTCAGTAGAGCTACACAATGTGCTCCTTAAAGAGACTGAGCTAATGTTCCACATTTACATACCGAGCTCTGAAATTTTCTGACCATTTTTCTCAAGTTTGTATGAAGCCTGCTTGTTCTACCAGCTTCTGGATAAAGCTTTCTCAAGGTAACAAGACTGTTGGTTAAGACCACCTCCTGTCAAACATTTGCTTGGCTTTATTTTGTTTTTTTTAGTGCTTACTCTTATTCTGGTGTTGTCATAGCCAGAAACCATTTTCTGCAAATGTCAATTTGGAATGAATAGGTACTTCCTCTTCACATAATAAGCAGGCAAGAAATTTTGCTGTAAGCCAGATATTTGGATGCTGTTTCTTGCTTTTTCTTTCATTTTTGTCTGTCTCTGCACTTGATGAAAAGAGTTATATAAATAATTGGAAAAACTTTGGAGGGGAGCATCTTGTGAGCTTTCATAAGGAAGGCAGTTCGAGATACTGCTTGACAATTCATACTGAGAGTTTGTCACCTTTGCTGCAAGTGAGATCTGTAAGGCTTCTCACACATTCAGAGTTAATGCCCAAGTCAGGGTACTGAGTATTCTTGTGGGATGTGGTCAGTACTTTTGTGGCACTGGCAGTGCAAGAGATCCTTGAAAAATATCTATCTGGCTTTTGTAATAGGCATAGGAGTAGTGTCACAGCATAATCAGAATACTCATGATGTTTAATGCCCTTGCAGGATGTCCTAGGTGTACACACTTTTACATGTTTGTGCAAACAGGCAAGCCCATAAAACTAATCATTGCAAGGTGTCACTCGGACTTGGTTTTTAGCTTTACTGTATAACATTATTGCAGGGATTTTTCACAGGCATCTAATGTGACATTGTGGTATGTAATATATGTATAATATTTTATATAAGTATGCATAACTATATATAAATGTATACGTGTAGAGTATATATAAACTTGTGTACATCTGTTTTTCTAATCTTGTGGGCTCTGCCCCACTAGATGTTACAGGCTACCTAAATGTTAAATCCTAGCAGCTAGAACTTATATTTGCTTGTTTTCCTTTTGACGGCTAATAGCTAGTATTTTACATAGAGTATTTCTAGTTTCCTCTTGCTTTCAGAAAGTGTGCCCACAGTGAGTAACAATTACTTTTTCATTTCCAGGGAAAAAGGTGTTTTATCCTGTGGTATTCAGCCTTTACAATCCTGCTATTGTCTATGCCAACCAAGATATACCAGCCCCTGTGGAGCAACAACTGGTAAGCAGTGTGATTTATTCTGAATAGAAATTAACTATGCTTTGTATCAAACCAAAATTAAATGTAACTTAATAGTCTGTTTGAGATCTCTTATGATCTTAGTGCATATCTAAACACTTTATGGGCAAAGCACTTGGAAGAAAATCTTATCAAATAGGAAAACCCCCTCAATCTTAGATGTACTTGGAGTTCCAGATTAAAAAACAACAAACAAACCAAAGCCCAAAAGCTTTAGTCAAATGAAGTTGGTGGTTCTGATCTATTGTTTAATTCTGGCTTGGAAAGCCACTATTTTACGAGGATAGTGGCATAACGTGGCAGCAATTTTCACCTTAAGTTCCAGCAAAGTGGTGAAAGGCAAAAACCTGTGAATGATGTTTGATAGGATTCCCTCAGTATGGACTCTTTGCTAACTACCAAATGATAGTTGCAGGAAGTGTGCCATGTAACTCAAGGTGAGCTAAGATGTCTAGTCAGTTTCCTTTTTTTTTTTTTTGTGCTATGGACAGCTGTACCCTGTGCAGATTGTTTCTTTACCTTTGCCATCCAGCGTCTGCTAGAATCATCGGCTGTTATACTGCTAATTTTGTCTTGCTTATGGAATGAGAAACACACACTGCTTCTAGGGAACCTTGTAGTCAAAACAATAAACAGACCCCGCAAACATTCACGAGAGTAGGTTTAAGGATCATTCAGGGCTCATCAGAAAGAAGTGCTCTATTTCTGGATCTTTGTTGCCTGAAGATGGAATGGCCGCAGTCAGCGTGCAGCCTGACTCTCTTGAAAGAGACTGCATAAATGAAATTGGGTTTTGCAGCTGGGACTTTGATGTAGACAGGTTTCGAGGAGAGAAAGGAGAGTGCAACACAGCCTTACTGAAAGAAAAAAACCCCATGCTATGGCTCACCCCTGTATTTCTTGCAAGGATCCTAGTGAAAGTAGGAGGGAAGGTTTTACATATGCCCTCAAGTAGTCACAGCTGAGGGGAGTGAGCTGCTGCCTGACAGTTCTGGTGTTTGCTTTTTTGAATTGAAAAATGTTATGGTTGCTGCCTTCAATCACAAAACTTACTTTTCTTTTTCTCATCATATCAGAACAAGAAGAGACAAATGTGACCTTAGAAAACAGGTAGGAATTGCAGTGTTGGAACAAATGTTTTGGCAATAGACTACCAAAAATTTACTGCTTGGTCTGAGCAGATATATAGAAACTAGAGGTTGTGTGGCAGAAAGAAAACATAGAAATTGCAATAAGAGGAAGTGTTTGGAATCAGATGTCAAAGGGTGAAGTGAACAGCAGGTAAATTAGGAAGCCCACATCTGTGCATTACACAGAAATGCTAGAAGTGTTATATGATGTATCCTGCACCGAGCAAATGATCGGAAGAGCTTAGTGTTCTACAAAATTAAGTGCAATATATCTCCTTCATTGTATTTTGCATTTCAAAGTGAAACTGCTTTATAATTGCAGGTACACAAGAAGGATTCTGGTTTCTGGCGGGATTTTGGCTTTGGGATGACTTGTCAGTATCGGACAGACTTTTTGACTGTTGGTAAGATGAAAATGAAAAAACAAAAAAGATTGTGTTTAAAAATTAATTCTCAGTCCTTATCTACTGACAGGAGAGTAATGCATTTGTTTACTGTTTTCCAAGCGCAGCAGTCAGGTTTGCTTGACAAGTTTGACCAAAGAGATAAATAGGATTTCTTTAGATTTTCATGTCCTATCTGCTGAGTGTTGATCAAGTGACAGTATTTTTTTTAGTACCAACATTTCATTATAGAACTTCTAAAAATCGTTCATTTTCTTGTACTTTGACTGTCTGAAGCAAATTAATCAAGTTTAAGAAAAACATCCCTCAAATAAACCACTAACATATATAGGAAGCATTCAAAATCTTTCTTTGAAATAACCTTGAGTAGTTGAAGAGTTGTTTGTCTTTAGCAGTATGCTTTACCACCCCCTTGTGGCATGCTGTTAAAACTGAGAACAAGCTAGGTGTGCTTCGATTTGGAAAACCATCTTGAAGACAGCCTGCCATAAGGTGTAATGATGTAGCCCTATGCTCTGTAGAATGGCTTGAATGCAGGCTGATTTATGATAGCAGTCCTATTGCCATGTGTAAAGTATATGCTAAAGGAAGTCTTCATGAGTTTTGAAATTTTGCATGAGTTTGGGTTGATTTAGACTGTGGTTCTGGAAAAGCAAGAGAACTTAAAATGGTGGAACAGGTTCCTTTCCTTAGTCTGTATTTTTTAGTTGTGATCAATGGAGTAGTTGCTGGCACATTTAGAAAGGGCTTTTTATGTGAGGCATGACTGCTTCATTTTTCAGCTGCTAAAATCTATTCTGATTGCTAAAAATAACCCAAAAGCATAGCCAGTAAGATTTGCATGCAGTTTTCTGCAGCTGTCACATGAGATGTCATGCATAATGTGATATGGGGACACTGTTCTAAGAGACTTTCTGGAGCCAGCAGTGCATGATCTGTGTCCTGGGCAGTTTCCACCACAAAGGATGTGGTATGATTGAAGCTCCTCTCCTTCAATTTGGCATGGAAAACTTAAAAAAGTGGTATGTCACACCAGATTTGGTAATACATTATACAAGGAGCATTGCTCTTTTTGCCTTTCATCTGGCCTGTGTACCAAAATAACTTTTTCTGATATTGTTTTTTATAGGGGGTTTTGACTTGGAAGTGAAAGGCTGGGGTGGTGAGGATGTTCACCTTTACAGAAAGTACTTGCATGGTGACCTTATTGTGATCAGGACACCTGTCCCTGGTCTCTTTCACCTCTGGCATGAGAAGCATTGTGCAGATGAACTCACTCCAGAGCAGTATCGCATGTGTATCCAGTCCAAAGCCATGAATGAGGCCTCTCACTCGCACCTTGGGATGCTGGTCTTCAGGGAGGAGATTGAGACTCACCTCCGTAAGCAGGCTTACAGGACTAACAGCGAAGCAGTGGGTTAAATGTCAACCCTGTGACTTTTGATGACTTCAAATTCACAATGAACCAGCACCATTTTACAGCCTTAATTCAGCTTAACAATGCAGTGCCTCTCTTTTTCAGTGAAGAAGAGTTTAAAGGGTTTTTGGTTCTTGTATTTGTTTTTCAAGTAATTCTTTGACTGTTACGCTGTTACCTAGATATCTTGCAAGTTCAAGCACCTCAAATAAATTGGAAAATGTATGTAGTTCAAGGAAAGAGACTTGAGTATGGATTGGAAAATCAGTGGAATGTATAACTCGACACTTTTCCACATGGTACATTTCAATTTTTATATTTGCATTATTTTAAGAATTAAATAATCTTTTGTGTTGTCTTGGGTATTTTCAGTCTGTATGGCTCACTGCTCTGTGACTTTAGAAGGACACTATACTTACACTCCATTGTAGAAACAAGAAAGGTGTGAAAAATAATTTCCATAAAAGTTGTACAGGATGTGCCGACTGGTACATCAGCTGTTCAGGTTGCTGATTCACAGCAAGGGCTTGGTGCCACATTTGCTGTATTAACAGACATTCACATGGTTCAATACAGAGTTATTTATATTGGTGGAGGAGAATGATAATCTTTAAGTGGAATTTTAGAGCATATAATGTAATTTCACACTGCAAACCAGACACAACCTTCTTGTCTCTCTGTCTCCTGACTCGGACGAGTTGGGAGCGTTGTCTCAGTTGGGCATTTCTGGGTCTGGTCTTTTCCCACAGTAGATGCCACATCACAGAATTCCTTCTATGAACTGAGTTATGCTATTAAACTAATTTGTTTAAAGATTTTTGGCTCCACTCCTCCTTATTCAAAGGTCCAGTGTGTACATCTCATCCTTTAAGTTGAGGAACCATGTTTTCATTCCCATATAAATTTATTAGAGGCTCATTTGCTATTATGCTGTTATTGTCCTTTGCTTTCTTTTTCTGGCATTTTCCTGATATGTTTTTGGAAAGGCTGTCATATAATGTCAGCTGTTTCTGTGACTGAAAAAGCAAGTGCTGTTACAGTCTTTCCTCATACAATGGTCTCCATTCTACTGATTATATTAGTAATTTTATTCTTTTTCAGTTTGAGGGCATTTTAGTTGGGTTTTGGTGGGAGGGTTTTGGGGTTGGTTTGGGGTTGTTTTTTGGGGTTTTTTGTTTTTTGTTTTTTTTTTTTTGCTTGCTCACTCTCTTTATTTTCAACATGCATAAGTAGAATTATGCTATGGTCTCATTAGTGCCTTGTACAATGGCACTACTACTTTTCTACTTCCTTATTGGTTATTTTGGGATACATAAGCAGTTTAAATTCCGGCACGTGATTTTTCTCCATGTTGTTTTATATGCTACCACATGGCATGCCTCATTTTTAATACATGTGTTTATAGACTGAATGCTGAGAATGCTAATTCAGTGGTTAAACCATTTGCATGGTCTCCACTGAATTTAGAAATGAGTTGAAAACTCTTCTCAAACCAGGTAGTGAAGACCTGTTCATGAATTCAGTTTGCTTCAAGAATTCTGAAGGCAACTAAAGATATAAATGGTTGATTTCTGAATAGCAGTTATGCTGTGCAAATACTTCCAGGCACTGATCCTTTTTATATGTACATAAAATTTGCCTTTATGTAACTTATTGTGGAGAACAGTGTACTGTATTGTACTTAGAGTGAAGAGAATGCATTGCAAGACTTATTGCAATTTATATTCTCAATATAATAAATGGAATTTCTGCATTTTAGAAATTGTTTTAAGTTGTTTCTTTGAAATAAGTTTTTACAGTAATATTTTACAAGGCAGATGAGACTCTGGATTCAGGTAATAGTATTTGGAGCAAGAAGTTCAACCCGATTCAGGTAATAGTATTTGGAGCAAGAAGTTCAACCAGCTCATATTTCCATCTCAAGTGAGTATCTGCCCAGACCAGATAGGAAAGTACAGTTAGTTCCCCAGACAACTTCAACTTATACCAGACGTTATCTTTAAGATGTCTGGTGGTTCCTAACAAAAAAGATAAGGTACCAGAGAGGAAATGATTAATACATATGCATGATGATTTGGGGTAAAGATATAAGTGGGACTTTCTACTGATCCTCCAGCCCTTAAAACTTCAGCTGCTACTGCAGTCCTGGCTGAGCTGCACAGGCATAAGCATCAGAAATGCCTCTCACTGACATCAATGCTGCTTAGCATGTATTGGAATGGATACTGAGGTAGTGCAGAGGTGGTAAGCATTGCTGCACCTGAGCTCTTAGCGCTTGGCCAGTACCCCAGAAGGATCCGGTTGTCCCAGTTTGCATGTTTTGGAAACACAGCAGGTTGCTGATGCTGATAGCCAGGTCTCTTACCTCCTGCTATTTTCCACTGGGCGGTTGTGCTTATCAGCAAGGGCAAGGAAAAAGAACAGTGTCAGTTGCCCATATCTGTGCCCTCAAAAATGGTCTGCAGTGTTGATGCTGGAAGGCAATCGAAGTCATGAGCTGAATGCAGTCAACAGAAACCAGTGAAAACTTTTCCTTCAGTTCACCATGCCAAAAGATGGAAGTGAATGTGTTAGAGTTAAAAGGAAGTCAGAACTCTTAGAAATAGTTAACTCTTAGAAATTATAGAAATCAAGATTGGGTATTGACACAAGTGATTAGTTGTGGACTCCTGAGCTTTCAAGTGCCTTTGCTGAGCCCTGCTTTTCTCCCGCCTTGGTTGAGGTCACTGCAATAACTGGGTGTTTTAAGGCATGCATCAGCTGGTTAGCTTGTTAGGAGGAGCATAGGCAACCATCACTGATGGCATTCGTTACGAAGGCAGAGATGCTGGTATGGGCTGTGTGCTGTGTCAAGTCAATGCAAGGTACTTGCAGCCCAATGGTAGTAATAAGAACAATTTTAAGCATTGAATCTCCTTGAATGCGTTTTGCTGCTGTCTGGTACTGGATTCTATGCATGCCTCACTGAGTGCATCTGTGGGGAAGACTGTTTCACTGCTAACAATCAATCTGTAGAACACTTACAGCAGAAAAATACTTGGCTCTAATAGTGCTTTGCAAGTTGTGGCATAGCTTATTAGCAACTTTGACATGTGAAATTAAATCGGTTACTAAAAAACTGTTATTCATGGTTTACAATATACAGTTTCAGGGAATAATTACTAATCATGCACAGTTCATGCTCCCCAATGTCGTACAATTTCACCTATTTGTCTCTATTGGATAATTAGAGATTATAAATAGCTGTCTTAAAAGTACAGATTGTAATCTTAAATTAGTTTTTAAGTTGTTATGATTCTCAAGTATATTCAGCTTGGCTATTTACACAAATGGATTATTTTGTCTATTTCAACAGGGATTCCCTAGAAAGAGCACAGACTGCTTTATACATCCCTAGTAATCCCAAAATAGAGAAAAGGTCAAGACCTATGAATTACAGAGGGAATTATTCTGTTCACCATACTTCTCTGAAAGTTACTTTGATTTGTACAAATACATCGTAAGATCACCACATGGTGACTGCTCTCCTGGTGCTGTTCTGCTTTTCATCATTCTTTGGTAGTTTCTCTAGCAAAAAATCCTGTGGAAGTGCTTCACTTTTTCTTGCTTCTGTGCCATAGTGTAAGCAAAAAAGCATGGGTAGAGCCCACTTCAGGACTCAAATTTTGCAGTTGCTATCAATCACTCCTACATTACCATAGGACCAGGTGTCTTCTCCTCTATGTGGCTGTGCATGACAGTGGCACATTAATTATGCTCCTGAGCAATTAACACAAAGCAGAGTCACTGACCAGCGCTGGTTAGAAAAATGTATGAATCTGGAACTGTGTTTTCCCCACGTCCTTAGCATACCTGACAGAAATTACACATGCTGTATTATATACTGAGAACTTGTATAGCTCACCTCCTTAAATCTCACATTGTGTTTCTTGTGCTGTGTTTCATCTCTCAGTGTGCTACCTTCCTTATTAACCCAGTCAGTTTTCCTTTGGTATGGCTCCTCCCATACTTCTTCCAGCTCTGTGCTTCAAAGCCATCTGCCTTCCTTAAGCTCTGGTCCTGACTCTTTGGTGACTCAAGCCGTTGGGAGCCCCAGCTGATGGAGCTGTGGTGGGGCTGAGCAGTGATGCCCAGCAAGGGAAAGCCCAGTAGCCAGACCCTGTGAGTGTGACGGGCACTGCCAGGCAGTGCAGGAATTGCTCTCTGCCATTTACCAGTTCTGCAAACTGGCTTTAAACCACAAAGCACTCTGTTTACTAGCTCTGTGTAACAGATTAGGCTTTTCTCTTATTTCTGTATTTGTTATATTTTATGCTGAAACAGTAACTGGTTGTGGCAACATGAACTTCGTGGGAAAGAGCAGTAATTTAAAGCCACCCAGTGTTTGACAACATCGCTTCTGTTCTGCGATGGAACCAGAATAGTAATAGTAGGATATGCCTTTATTAAAAGTGAGTTTACAAGTGATTTCAGTTACATGAGTGCTCTGAACTTCTGACTGCATTTTAGCATAGGCACAATGCATTTGTATATAGATCCATAGCTATTTTCTGGTTACAGCTGCATGCTGTAAGGCAGGGTAGGTTTGTCCTTTCTCAGTAAAACTCAGCATAACTCTTCCTTGGAAATGTTTCCTAACCTCTTCCACAAAAAAAAAGAAAATAATAAAATTTCTCGCTTGAATAATAAAATCGATTCTCTGTGTTTCTTTAGGCATAAATCTGGATAAATGGCTGAAAGACGGTAGCTGTGTGTGGTCTCAGGCTTGTAACTGCTGTCTGTGAGCCTGTGAGCTCGGCGATGCCCTGACTGCCAGGATCCTGGTGGCCAGTGTGGGCCCTGGTAGCTGTGCACTGCCCCATCTTCTTGGAAGCCTGGGTCTGGGTTTTCTGTCTACTTTACCAAGGAACATGGAATTGCACTGAGAGAGAAGTTAAGCCTCAGGGGAGTCTCCATCCACAGAAAAGGTTCAGAAACTTAATTATGAATGATTCAGTGTTGATAGTGAGCTCACTTTATTGCTGCTCACCTCCAGCCTGAGCGGGTGCAAACACAACATCCCTTAGTTTGATGGGCTGAGGCCCTTCAGTTGGAACCACAGGCAATTTCCTGACAAAGGAGGAACATCATGGGGCTGAGTGGTGCGCTTGGGTCATTGTCAGTTTTTGTGGTTCTGATCTGCATGGCTCCAGGGTGTCAGACAGGGGTGTTTGCCACGCAGGAACGGAGACCTGCTCCTGGCTTTCCCAAGGTGTGCTCTGCCTGCAGAGGGAGAATAAACCCCACAGGGTTCATCTTGGGCTGCCTGCTGCTGGGGCATTGCAAAGATAAATGGAAACGTTATGCTTTGGAGCCAGAATGAACTGCCGGCCCAGGGTCGGTGCTCAGATTACAGCCGGGTGTTAGGCCATATCCTCCTGTTTTGACAGATGCTGTTTATCTAATACGTGGTTTCCCTTTTTTTAAGCTGTGGTCCCAGCATAAAAAGCCAGCTGTGTTTTCCTGGAGGAGTCACTGCATTTTGGTGTTAGAGTAGTAAATATAGTAACATTTGTTTAACTAGGAACATGTGCCACCAAATCAAGAAGTAATTTAGGGGTTGTTTGTTGTTTTTTGTTGTTGTTTTTTTTTTTTTAGCTGTTGTATGGTATCCACATTAACTATAACCTTTTCCAAGGAACTTGCAATCTACGGAGGGAAGAGGAAGTGCTCTTGATTAAAGGAAGTCAAAACGAGATTAGCTCAGGGCCCACGTTTATCTTTAGGCTGTTCACAGGAATGAATTCAGGTGGTGCTTTTGCAAACTTGAATTTGTG